GATTAAAAGAATACCCCAAATCATATCTTGTTGGAACCAAAAACTTGTGTTCTGGATTTCTACTTGTCTCCCTATTGTGATCAGCTACATATGACACATGAAAATTGTATCTCCACTCTCTCATTCAGGAATGTATTTACTGAGGAAAAAAAAAAGTGATGATAAAGCAGCTAAGGAAACTGTCTCCCTCTCACCTCCTCCCCAACATTATCTCCTGGTGACTAGCACACTCTGAAGGTCACTTGTTAGAGATGCACCTCCTTCAGCAAGACAGCCTTTCTCTCACACCCTCATCTACAGACCTTGATTTGTTCAGTTCTTTCCTCTCCTCACCTTCATCAGGTATGAGTGTGGTCAGATATATTGCTGAGCCCTAGTCTCTGTGACTTCTCCATCCATCCCACCACAGAACCACAGAATATTCTGAGTTGGAAGGGACCCTCGTGGATCATTGAGTCCAGCTCTTAAGTGAATGGCTATGGGCCACAAATGCTACAAAAGAGATCAGAGCTGGTGAGCATAAAGGGGGTGATGCATCAGAGGCTTGCAGTGTGATTGTGGGTGGCCAGAACCAAGATCATATGGGCCAAAATCCAAATTTCATGTCCAGTCTTTCCTTATACATCTCTAGGGATGGTGACTCCAGTACCTCCCTGAGCAGCCCATTCCAATGTCTAATCACCCCTTCTGTGAAGTAATTCCTCCTAATGTCCATCCTAAACCTCCCTTGGCACAGCTTGAGGCTGTATCCTCTTGTGCTGTCAGTGGCTGGCTGGGAGAAGAGACCAAGCCCCACCTGCCTACAGCCTCCTTTCAGGCAGTTGTAGGGAGTGAAAAGGTCACCCCTGAGCCTCCTTGTCTGCAGGCTAAACAACCTCAGCCCCCTCAGCCATTCCTCATGGAACTCGTACTCCAGACGCTTCATCAGTTTTGCTGCCCTCTTCTGGACTTGCTCCAGCACCTCAATGTCCTCCTTCCTGATTTGAGGGGCTCGGAACTTTGAAGGGACACAGGATTCAAGGTGCAGCCTCACCAGTGCCAAGTATAGGGGGAGACTTTTAATTACCTGCATCCTCACAAATTCAACAGTGGGAACGAAGCTTTACTGAAAAGAAAGGATAGTTTTGATCCAAGCTGTACTTGACTTCCAAACATTCTGAGAATTTAATCTTCAGTGTAGAGTTTCACTCAGTGAAGAACAGCTGAATTAAAATCAACAAGACTTTAAAAAAACTTAATCCTTGCAAAGGAAGTTCTCGCTACTTTTAGAGGGAAATTCTCACTTTAAGGAGACAAGATTAGAAACATGCTTTATTTAGATTCTCACTGGAGAGGCTAGAAACAGAGGAGAGAAAAAGCTGGTGTTAGAAGACGATAATCTTTCTTGTCGTCGTGCCACAACAGACCACCGGGTATTATTTCTCCATATTGTACACATTTATGTAGTAACATGTAATACCTCCTTGTTTGCAGAGATATCTCAGTGATGTGCTACAAGCTTTGACAAATCATCATGAGATAAAGGAATTGGTGTATTATCAAATCATTGCTTATAGATTTCTCAGAGATTTCCTTCTTCCACAAGTACTTTAAATGTGGACCTTCAAACACATTGTGCCCATCCATCCATCCATCCACCCATCCATCCACCCATCCATCCATCCATCCATCCATCCATCCGTCCGTCCGTCCGTCCATCCATCCATCCATCCCTTGTTCTTTATTACACTTACATAGTATGCTGCCTTCAACCCATACAAAGAACTGACAAAGCACTATTGTAGCTTCAGAAATTCTGTCTAACACAACATAAGCCGGTGAGGGACAACTCTCTTTGTGGCTACTTCAGGAAACAGCCTAGCCTCTTCCAAGAGAGTGTTTGGATTGGTGAGAGTCTCTCCTCATTCAAAAGCTGTTTCTGAGTTACTGCCTCTTACAAAGCAGTGGTCTCTACCACCTAGACCTGAAAATGAAGATAATTTTAGCAAAGAGGGAAATCAGGCCCTCTTGAAAGTGCTAACTTTTAAAAGAAAGCAGCAGGGCAGGGAAGCAAACAAAGAAAACAGGTCATGAAACTGTTGAGCTTGGAAAGGTCTCCATAAGACTGGCCATTGTGTCTTTTTGGTTTCCCTCTCCACCTCTTTGAGCAACCTGGTCTGGTGGAAGGTGTCCCTGCCTATGGCGGGAGGGTTGGAACTAGGTGATCTTTAAGGTTCCTTCCAATGCAAACCACTCTGTGATTCTACAATTCTATGAAAACACTGATCAGTATTCCTTTATTTCAAGAGTTTTAACTCAGAAGGTTGAAGATGTGACCCATACTGGATGTATGAAAAGTCAAAACACAGAAATAAAAAGACTGAGATGTTGGCTCTGTAGCTGCCTCAGCCTTCTCAATATTTCACAGCTGATCTACAAAGTAACTCCTCCAACCATTAGCATACCACAGCAGCTATGCTTGCAGAAATACTGTCCATCCTCACCTCTCCTTGCTGTACCCAGGCCATCACAGAGGCAAGAATGCAAAGTATTCAGGGCTGAAAGAAGAGACAGTGTAATTCTCTGGTTTATTTCTTACAGCATCTATATAAAAAGAAGAGAGTCAAAGGGCCTGTTTATTTGTCTTGTTTCAAGTTCAATTAAAACCAAACCAAAATCCAAAACAATCCAAAATCCTTTGGAAGATGAACCATAAAATGAAGGACTGCTGTCAGTAACTCAAGTTGAAATCTCTGCTTAAGATCTGAACACTTCATTGACCATGCAAAAAATTGTGGTGAACACACACTTACATGAGAAATAATTAATAGCTCTTTCATGTGGTTTGGGCTTGGGTAGTTTATTGTGTACTTTTATGTGTACTTTGGCAGTTAGTCCTGAAAACAGTCCTATTCCTTTATAAAAATAAATTAATGACCTGCTTTTTCTGAATGACTTCCGGTAATAAATATTAGGCTGTCACCCTCATATCAGTTTTCATATCAGTTTCCCTTGCTCTGAAGTCTAAGGGCATAGTTCGAGAATACAACTGCATCATGCACAACTATCTTTTGCTAACAAATGACAGTCTTGTTCTCCCATCCTCTCTCCACCCCCTCCTTAGTGCCAGCTCTAACCACAAAATAAGCTAATTCAAAATGAACTACTGAAAACTATTACTTTTCTTCCAAGTGCGGTCTTTTCTGAATTAAAAAGTTAAATTGGCTGACTGATCAATATCAGGGATTGTGCAAGGCAGCAGGGAAAGGAATTAGCAGGATTATAGAGAGCAGGACCTCTCCTTTTCTCACCTTCTGCAGCAGCTAGTTCATTCAAGAAGTACTGTGCAGCTGCATTGGAGGGCTGTTCTAACTACAATTGCCTGATAGTATTTGGCTTTATGCACGGTCACTCTTCTCTGTGCTGTTCTGCAGCCACGTTAAGGGCTCTATTGAATAGTCTGGGGAGTCCTAGACTGCTAGAGTTTCTGGAGGTACCTGAGGAGAGAACATTTTATCCATATGCACGCTGAAGCTGCTCATGGAAATAAAAAAGAATTAGATTGGATCAGAAAGAGAACCATTACGGACATCATTCTGGGACACTGGCTCTTAAAGCCAATCTTCAGATCACAGCACGTCTGTGTCTGATCCCATTCCAATAGCAGTGTCCATTTTACTTCGTGAACACAGCAGGCGAAACCCATCCCTTAGAGGCACCCCTTGCAACTGGCACTGTCTCCCTGTCCTGTCCACAGTCCTGGACTCAAGCCCAATAACAACTGAAGTACCCAGTGGAAATGTGGTGCTTTGCGGTGCTTTCTTGGTGCCACCAACCCAAGGAAAGCCTTCGCTTGGTAATTAACTGCACGGCCCTGCCTGGACACATCACCCAGGCCTCCCCTTTCGCCCAGGGAGCAGAGTGGCCCTGCCCAGCCCCACACCCTCTGCTCCTCAGCCTCCCCAATGGAGGTCAGCCTGCACTTGCTTCTCCCCTGAATTCCTCCTCAAAATCCACCCTTTTATTTTTGCGGGCTACCCTTCTCCACAGGGATGAGCAGTGTCATGGAGGGGTCAGACAATGCAGTATTTGTGAGAAACCAACACGGAGGCAGGGCTGCAGCTGTGCCAGCCGCTCACAGAGATGAAGGGAACACAAGTGAGAGGGAACCTCATGAATGTCTGTAAGTATTTGAAGGAAAGTTGTCAAGAGGATGGAGCCAGGCTCTTCTTGGCGGTGCCAAGCCAGAAGACAAGAAGCAAAGGGCAGCAACTGATGCAAAAGAAGTTCTACCTAAACATGAGAAAGAACCTCTTTCCTGTGTGAGTGACCACACACTGGAACAGATTGCCCAGAGAGGTTTTCGAGTCTCCCTCACTGGGGATTTTCAAGAACCGTTCGGACGCAACCGCGTGCCACGTGCTCTGGGACGCGTCTGCTTGAGCAGGGAGGCTGGAGCACTGTGGTCCCTTCCAGCCGGACCCATCCCGTGACTCTGGGGGTTTCGGAGCTTGCGGGTACCGCGCCGCGGCTTCCCCCGCCCGCCGGGGCTGAGGCACGGCCGCGCGCTCCGCGCCGGCGCGGGCGGGCGGGGGCGCGCGGGGCGGGGGAGCATTCCCAGCTCCCGTCTCCCTCCCGCTTCCCGCGCATGTGCGGTTGCCAGGGCGGCCGTCTCCGGTGAAGGTTTAAAATCTGCGGGACATGCGCAGTGCTGGTTCTGGCCCTGGCGAGGGGGACACGCCACATTGGAACGGCGAGCGGAGCGCTCCGGGCAGCGCCGGGTACAGTTTGCGCCGCCTTCGCTTCCTCCCAAGCCGCGCTCGCCTCGCCCGGCTCTGCCTCCGGCCGCCCTGCCGCCCTCGCTCGCTCCCTCCTCCCCGCGACACATGCCGCTGCTGCCGGGCCGCTCCTAGCGCCGCTGCCGGGCCGAGCGAGCGAGCGAGGGAGCGGGCGGTGAGCGGGCGGCGGCGCGGAGCTCTGGCCGGGCAGTGAGGGACGGCGGCGGCGGCGGGCGGGCGTGGATGGATCCCCGCGTGGCCTGGATCCAGCCCGAGCAGAAAGGACCCGCGAATGCGCTGTGGATGCAGATCTGGGAGACCTCGCAGGGCGTGGGGGGCCGGGGCGGCGCCAGCTTCCCGCCCTACCTCTGCCTCAACTCCCCGGCGCTGGACTCTGCCGCCTCTCCGCCCCGCGGGCACGGCTGCGTGCGGCTTGGGGCGCCCGGCGCCTGCTGCTCCTCTTCCTCGCCGCCGTCGCCTTCGCCTTCCCCGCCGGCCCTGCTGACCGGACTGGTGCCCGCTGTCCCCGGCGGCCCCGCGGCGGTGAACGGCGGCGGCGAGGGAGGGCGGCGGCTGCAGAAGTCGCCTTCCGTGTCTTCCTCGTCCTCCTGCTCGTCGGTGGAGTCCGGCACCGAGAGCCCCGGCTTCTCCTCCTCGGGATCGTGCAGCGGTGGCGGAGGTGGCGGCTCCTCCTCTTCCTCCGGCGGCCCCCGGGCGGTGGCGGTGGCTCCTCCCGGGCTGCTGGGCAGCGGGGCTGGACCCGGGGAGTTTTTTAACTTCCACGAGAACAAAGTGAACGCTGTGAATGGGCACCACCAGCCGCCGCACCCGGCGCGCAGCCCGCACCCGCCCCCGGCGTCTCCCCAGCAGCACCAGTACCACCCGGGCCGCAGGAAACGGGAGAATAAAGCCAGCACCTATGGCATGAATTACCTGCTCTCCGGCAGCCGCGGCGTCGCCGTCAACAACTCCCCCCACCAGCAGCGGCAGCCGCCTCAGCCAGCGCTGCAGAGCCCCGGCACCCCCTGGAAGACCAGGAAATACAGCCCGGGCGTGCAGGGGTGAGCAGCCGGGCCCCGGGGGCTGCTGCGGCCCCAGAGGGAAGGAGGGCCTCGGCCGCCTCCTTCCTGCGGCCCCTCCGGGAAGGGGGGCGGTGGGGTGGGATCACACGAACTCCTCTGGAGCCGGCCGCGGCAGGGAGGCCGATGGCAGGGGACGGCGGGGCGCAAACCCGTGCCCTTTTGTAAATCACCTTGGTCTGTGCTGGCTGGGTGGTTCTTGGCCGAAGCAGCGATTCATGCAGTGCGGGAACCCGTATATGCAAGGGGTTAGGCCTTACTTTGTAATAGATTGAGAGGTGAAGTTGTCAGGCCATTATCAGAGGTCACCTACAATAATTAATGCAAGGATGTGTGCAGGATGCTTGTCAGAGCTACCAGGTCTCAATTCAGATTGTAAGGGGGAAGTGGAAGGCTTCCGTTCAGAGGGACTCAAAACCTTTGTGTTAATTTTTAAATGCCTCTGCTTAGGCTACAGCAGGCTGGTTAGCTTGGGGAGTGTTAGCAACATCACATGAAAGGGAGGTTCCGAGTTCTGTCTGAGATAGACATGAAAGTCACTGTAGACTTAGAACATTTCTCTCAAGTGTGTTTTAGCTCTAGGATAAATTGAGCCCGCCGATAGCTGCGCAGAAATCTTGTCTTTTTGAAGAGAATGTTTTTATGAAGCTTACCCCTATCTGGTAAGCCATACCTTTCTTGTATGAATGGGTAGTTAGTAAGGCCGAGTATTCAGTTTGATCTGATTGGCATGGAGAAGGGACTAAAATTGAACAAAGTATGTCTGGGATGCTCTATGAGATTGCTGTATTTTACTTGTCAAATTTCATTCAGTCAAGGGGAAATGTTACTTTCTAAAGTTAAGGTTATTTTATTCTTGGGAAAAGTGCTAGCTGCATTGACTGACTGTAGCAGATTTCTGATGTTGCTTCAAAAATAGTTTCTTGGAACATCCTAACATCAAGACCCTTGGATGCCTGTGGAATAAAGGCATTGCATATTTGTAGAGGGAAAATAGCTAAAGATAACAGGGTATGAGCTGGGGGTTTTTAAGTTTAACTTAAAGACAGTGGCTTCCTTTTCTCTTTCATATAGTACTGTCAGGTGCTGAGTGTGTTAAAAGTTATGAAGAAGTATTTAAATACATTTTTAAAGTAATGTTTTTGCAAACCATAACCTCAAGAGGGTGAGGACAAGTCTTGTGACTACTGCTTTTTAATTCCAGACTGACACTAAAACTTCAAATTCCTTGCAGGAAGCTAGAATTTGAATCTTCAAGAGGTGTCTTGCACTAGGAGCTTTGAGTCCTATACTAAGGAGTTTGTGTGTCTCAAGTTCCAATAGTATCTTTAAAATAGTGTGAAGTTTTATTTTTTTGTTTTCATAGCGATGTGGTAGAGCGCTGAGTTAACTTTTTAATTTAAGTCATCTCAGTGTAAGTGAGGCAGATCTCCAGGCAGGTGGAGGAAGGAGCAGCCTGAGTTCATCCAGCAGGTCTATGGCAAATGGCAAACCTGTGAATCAAATCCAAGTGTTGCAAGTTCTGTCCTTTATAGTTGTTAGGCAGGACCACCTATGCCATTCACATAACTTTTTCATTATCTGTTCTTCTGTTTTCTTTCAGCTTTCATGTAATAGTGGCCATGTTACTCTTTATGAGTTTCTAGAGAATCCATCCGCAAGGAAATTGTTTAGCTGAGATTCAGTTGTGCTGTTCAGTTCTGTAATGTAGGTAGTTCTTTTGGTGTTAATGAGAAGTTTTTTGCTAAATATCTCTGAAAGTGGAGCTGTGTTTCCTGATCTTCTGTCAAGGATCTCTGTTACAAAAGTGGGACCTGATTCTGGCAGTGGGATACCAGTAACTGCAGCATGTGCAATCCTGTAGTTCCAGAGCATTCCTTAAAGTAGTGGGGAACTAACTAGTGCTGAAGGAGAGCATGAATCTTGAAACCATAGACCTAAATATGACAAGCAGTTTCTGCCTTAAAATTTGAGGACTGCTGCCTAAGGTGAATCTTGAACAAGTGAATATTCTTAAACAATTTTCTCGTTAGTGTTATTAATTTTTTTGAAGTGCTTGCATGATTGAAATAAGAATATTTTTGCTGATGGATTTAGGTATCTATCTTCTGCAGTAATTCCTGTTTAGTGGTGAGCTTAACTTTATTCTGAAGCCTGGCTTGTGTGTTATTTGGCAATTCAAATGAAAACGCACTGAAAAGGCTGGGATGGGGACAGATCCCTACAGGAGTTTCTTGTGGATCCCTTATGTTCCTTCAGTTGCCTGCTGTTCCCTGGAACAGTCAGCTGGGTCCTGAAGTATCTCTTTGATAACTCATCATCTGTTGACAGAGCATCTTCAGTGTTGCCATCCTGCTATATGCAACTGTTGAAAAATGTGGTCCTGAACCTCTTCAGCTGCAGTCTGGTTTGGGCATTGATTAGAGGAGGAAGGACTTGATCATAGGTGCTCTTATGCTTACCCTGTATGTGAATGGTGGAGCTTACTCTGCTGTGAATCCTGTTCCTAAAACAGTGCTTTTCTACAGCATGCTGAAATTTCCAAGTGATACGCAGTGGCTCACAGTGTTACTGTATTGTCTTCTGGTAACAGAGTAAGCAGGGCAATCTCTGTTAGCCCTCTCCCAGGCTGCAGTCCTACTTCTGATGAATTGTCAGAAGCAGTCAGTACTGTGCTCTCCTGCTTTCTCATTCAGAGTTGAGGATGGTCTGTGGCACTGCAAGTCATTGTTTTATTCACACTGCTCATAGTCGGTGGCTTTGTGATGGTTAAGTGTGATGTTTAGGAATACTGTATAAACGCTGGGTTTCCTCTGTTTTATGTACATAACTCATTTTTTTCCAGTGGCCTCATGCTTTCACCACTTTGATAGCAGCATGACAGTCTTTGTAAAGGAAATTTTTCCCTTAAAACACAAGTGTGAAAAGCTATGTTTGATTAGATTTCATCCTATAGCTGTTCTTTTGGATGCCGTAGATTGTCCCATGTCATGCTTTTAACAGAATTTTGGAAGGTAAGGAGTGAGGAGATTGAAGCCATATTTATTCCAGTGCTTCAAGAGAGTGATTAATATAGCAGCAGTGTAAATTCCTGTGTGCCTGAGTTTAGTTTAGATGACAAAATGATTGGTTTCAGATGCAAGGCAGAGAAGTATCCTTTAATATTCTGAGGTTAATTCGAGCTGTTGTGACCGATGTTCAGAAGTGCATGTTGTTTCTTGGTACTGTAAAGTATCCTCGTGTGTAAAACTACATCTAGCCTCTTAGGGTGTGCATTCTTTGCTCAGCAAATACCTTCTGTTTCTGTAAAGTCAGTATCTTAAATATATCTGAGTTACTTAAGCATCCAGAGAGTTGAGAAGTGCTCAGATATTACTTCAAAAGAGGGCATCAAGCTATTCTAAACTTTTTGCTAAGGCTTCTACTGCTTTTTTTTGGATGGAGTGGATTAGCACTCCACAGCTAATGGAGTGCTTTCTCTGAAGATGCAGCTAATAGCTTGTGAATAGTATAAAATTACATCAGATTTAATTATTTTATTTCTTAATATGAATTTAACAAAGTAAGTAAAAAATTAAAGCAGTTTTAACGATATGAGTCTGTACTGCTTAATACTTTCAACTAAGTGTTCAGTCTAATTGTAGATGTTGAATGAGGTTAGCGCTGAAATACCTGGTGTATCTGCTTGGCACATTACAGTGCTGTGCAGAAGCAGCAGAACTGGCTTGTTGAGGATTAGTTTGGGTACCAGAACTGTTATGATACATTGGAATGGTGCTCTGCCTGGGCTAATTAGTGTCTGATGACTTCCTGCATTCATTTTTCTCCCTGTATAGCTGTTGTCTTTAACTCTCTCTCGATAATGACAAACAAGTTCTGCCGTAGAGTACAAGAGCACTAAGACCTCCACATTTCCTTATGCTGAAGGAGGATTCAGGGCAGTATTCCCTAATGACTACAGCAAGTACTTGGGGAGAGTTCTCATAAGCAAGGTGAGCTTATGGCAGTGCTGCTACAGAAGACTTGTTTCAGTGTTCACCAGTTTGCAGCTGAGCGATACCATGCACAAAAAGTGATGTCTAGAGATACAGTGGTGTGCCTCTGTGCTAAGCTTATATTAGATCATCTTTATTTCTTCACCGGTATGCAGTGTTTCTAATTCCAGTCTTACAGAGGTTTTCTGCATTTTTTGATATATTTCAGAACTTTAACTAAGATAAATTTAATTACAGTTTAATGTAGTGCACTGTTAAAAATCCATTGCATTCAGGGCTGTGCATAGCTGTGGTTGCATGTTTGTCAACCTTTTCTTCTTATCATCCTGCTGTCAGAGCTGTCAGATACAAATTAATGTGTGGGCATGCCACACTGTCAGCCCCTTCTGCAAATTTTGTTTTCTTGTATTTTGAGCTGAAAGAATGTAGACTTTGGAAATGCTCTGAAGCCTTTACTGTCTGCAGTGAGATGTCCAGCACTTGTAGGCTTTTGGGGGCCTCCCAAGGGTGATTATTCTTAACTTCTCCCTTGCTTAACAGTGCTGTCTTGCTCCAACACCTTCTAGTAAAGAATCAACACAGTGGGCTGTGCTTCACCCACACTGCTGTCCAGTCCTTGGTGTCTGCTGTCTGTGGTGCTAGATGGACACCTGTAGTGGAAGTGTGGATGGAGGAGGCAGGTCACACTGGCATGTTACACTCAGTTCTTGTTTTGCTTTACTGTAGGGTCAGGGTAGAAGTAGGCAGTATATGCTGGAGTGTATGCAAGAAGTGGAAGTAGTTGCCTGTTAGTCATAGTAAATTTCTGGAGAGAGCATCAGGATGTAGTTAAATAGATTGTTTTCATGCCTGAAGCTTGGTATGAAGGGAAGTTCCAGGGTAGCTGCTGGATGAATTGTCCAGAACAGAACATCTCTTTTTTCCTGTGGTCAAGTAAGTTGCCTTGGTAAAGCACAAAATTTCCATGCAAAGTGGGTACCTAGTGTA